AGGTATTTATAACTAGAGAAGACCTTGAGCTGCTAGGTAAATTCGAACTACTTCTAATTATATATATTAATGCCATTTATTTCTTTTTCTTTTTCTTTTTCTTTTTACAAAGGGCATCATTTATTTTATTTTTCTATAAGAATGTAGCCATAGTTGCGAAAATCCTCCAAGATTGTCCAGACCATAGATAATTTGACATATATAAGGTCAATATTTACATACACACGGTAGATAGATATTAACATTTAGTTGAACCTTGAATATCGTATAAAAAGGTAAGTTAGAAATTATGAATTAGTGTTGACAACAAGAATTAGTGTTCAACAAGAAGAATTTTTTTTTTTTTGGAGCTAGTCTTACTTCTTACCAGGAATACTTTTGATGTGATATGAAGCAAATGTATAATATTCTAACTACATGAATTTTTGTAAGAAGGGGATCAGTTTAAGCGGATTGCATCAGGCCTGTTCAAGCTATATATGTAATCAGTTTGGATGTGGAACTAGCTAGATGAAAAGACAATAGCATGTAAAAAATGTATCATAACCCCCATTAACTTGATTAAAGTACAAAAATGAAGATAAATTTTTGGTTAGGTTTTTTATTTGTACCACAAGTTTGTTTTTTTGAACATTATCCTCACTCTTTTACTAACATTCAAGAGCTATCCTCACTTTATCATTAAAAATCATCAACATGTCACCAATCCGTATGTTTCTCATTGCTCAAGGATTCTAAATGTACAGAGCTTTCCTGGATTGATTACCAAAAGAAATCTTCTAACCCCATAAATATTAAATTTTATTTTAATTACCCTTTAGGCTATATATCTAGAAAGCCACTCACGCTACATAGAATGAATGGTACGAAGAAGATCGAATTTCCATTTTGTTTCTAACCTTGAGAGATTACGTTGACGGTCAAATGTTTGAATTTATATACTATCCTATTAAAAATTCCATAAATCAAATATAATTTTACGCCAAGATACATGCACTTAAATATCACAGTATTGATATACCTTCTTTTTGCCAAAATATGAGTTTTCATAAAATGATGCTGGTTTGTAAATTTACAAAAGAGTTGATTCTTAACTGCCTAACTGGTATTAACCTTAGCAAAAAGAAATAAAAATTAGGTTAGAATCAGACACATGAACTCTGGTATTTGGGAAAGAGTTAGTCATTCCGAAGCCATGACTGCACCAAGTGTTGGAATGACTTAATTTGTCTCCTTCCTTGCCCAGCATCGTGTCTCTGACAATACGATCGATACACTTGAAAATTACAGGCGTTGGTTTTGATGTGTGCTCTTGAAGCCTTCTGTTTCTTTCTGCCTGGATTTTATAAACTGTTGCTTGTGAAGCTATACACTTAAGAATTCTGGGAACATTTGCATCTATCACTGATAGCCAATCTAAGAATTAATGCAGTCAAGTGATAAAATCGGAACGTATATACTTGAATATCACAAGTATTTATGATAATGTTAGCACTCTAGTAGAACTGCATCAAGACTTGTTCTGAAGAAAACCCTAACGTATTAACTTCACCAATTTTCAGTAGTAGGGAACTATCTAAAATTAATGTTATACTTTTCTCGCTGATCAATCATCCTTAAAAAAATTGGAAAAGTAAATTAAAAATTTGGAAAGTAAACTACTACAACTACATAGCTCACGCAGTTTAGGAACAGCCGCGACACAATATGCGACTTTTTCTTAAGGAAAGAATTAGCTTTTAAGGTGATCCACAAAAACGGTTGAACTGAATTAAATATACATAAAATTCAATCTTATAGAATGGAATACGTGAACATCTTATATAAAAGAAAAGTACCCATATAAAATATCCCTTAGTTTTCACTTTTATTTACAATATCATGCTACCGAAGTTATTAATTACCCTACCTTATAGGATTCTTTGTCTTTTCACTTTAATTAATGCATTTCCAAAATCAAATTTTAACTAAAAAATTATGGTAACAATAATTAATGAAAATAATTATTTTCATATATACCTTTCGTAATTAAATAAATAAATTCTATAGAAATTATTTTACTAATTCCATATACATAATAATTAATTCCAATATTAATTAACCTACCTTTTAGGATTTTTTTTCTTATTAATTATCTACATATCTTTAAATAGTCAATGAACAATATTGTTTTCAAAGATATATAATTATATTTTTATTATTTACAAGTATTAACTAAAATAAAAGTCACAAAAAGAAACATTTATATAATATACAATACATAGATTAATATAAACATATTATGTTATTATATTCTTATATAAATAATAGTTCAAGGTAAATTCAGAATAATAAAAGTTAAAAAAGTAGAAATATATAGAACCATATATTTTAAATAGTAGATACAACAATTTAGTTATACATTATCATAAAATTTTGATCCATAAAAATAAAAATAAAAACATTTTTGCAGATATACGGGTCATATTTTTAAAATAAGTATGACACAATGATAGTTTATACGATAAAATAAAATTACTCAATATAAACTATAAAATTGTGTGTTTAAAATGTTGTTTTAAATAATTATTTAAACGGGTAAATCTAGAAATATATTATCACTTCTAAAATATATAAAAACAAACACTTCCACATATCAAACAACAAAATTTCGGTATTATTCTGTCAAAATTAAAACAATAAGTAATTTGTAACCATTTAATTGATACTTCATTTTTTATTTTAAATTTTTCAATCCAAATGTTTTATATATTAAAAAATTATATAATTTGAACATCAGGCTTTTTCTTAGAAATGTTATAACTAATTTATCATTTTTTTTATACCATATTAACTCTTACTTCTCAAGATTTGATGTATCTTTAACTGAAAAATATTTTCAATATATCGTCTACATGTTAGATTTGTTTGTATGATACCCAATATTTTTGATACCATAAATTGTTAACACACCCACACAAAAAAACTTAATGTAATACAATTAACTTTTACAAAAATTTCATCTAATATAAAAATTAAAAAAATAAAATTAATACCCGTGCAATCGCACGGGTCAAGGTCACGGGGGTACGCACGTTATTGAAAAAAAATTCAAATTCTAATAAACATTTGATATTTTCAATTATTTTTTTGTGTATATTTTGCGCTAAGATTTTAGCAAAATTGTGGAAGGTATAACTATTAAAAATCAATAATGTATTTAAAGAATTCAATCATATTGTGTGAATACTTTAATATATATAAATTCTCCCGAGGATCATTTATTCTTAAAGGGCAACCTGTTTATGGCTACACAAATTCATAAGTTTCAAGTTAATCAAATTAAATGCAAAAAAAAATACTTATTTACTTAAATTTGTATGATGATAGTGTTCATGTTTTATTGGAAGAAGTAAGAAAAGAGTGATAATTTAAAATTAAAGTGGCATGTTTTGTTATTGTTTTCTTATTTTCAGGGTTTTTAAGGTTTTACTAAAAGTTAACAAAATACGATAAACTAATTTTTTGTATCACTGAGATTTTTCTAAACGTTTATATATAGTATTACTTATTCCATTTCACAATAGTTTAAATAAAAGCTTTAATATTAAGAAAGATCTTATTTTTTAGAACATAGTATTTAATTAATAAAATTTAATAAATATAAAAATAGACATTATTTGATTGGTCACATTATATCTACTACATGTAAAAGTTACATAGATGTGAGAAAATTACCTATATTTTGAAACAAAAAAAATTCTTAATACTATTTAGAATATGAAACGGAGGGAGTGAAACATAGTTTTAATGAAAATACATAATTTAATTGGTTTAGTTAATAAATACAGAACTTAAGAAGAAACTATAGTTTGCAAAAGAAATGAATGATTATTAATGAAATAAATTGAGCTATAAAACTGGCATTTGTTACTTTGTATTTGTAACTTTAAGAATTATTATTTTTCAGTAACAGAACTATAAGATTTATTACTCTAAGTAATCCAAAACCAATAATTGTTATTTTTTTAGTATTTCTTTGAATTGAGTTTTAATTTAAATGTTAGTATTAAATAACTCTATTCAATAAAGTCAACAAAATATCTGATCAGACCATTCTAAAACACTTTATACAATTCTTTGTATTCGATCAATGGGTTGTGTCGACCATTCGCGGTGGCTCTCCTCCTGTCAAGAATCCTATGAATCGTTTCGGTTTCTTCATGCGTACAATCGAGTTGGTGGCGATCGAGGCCACAATACGATTTTTATCTAATCTTGAGTTACGATTCACTTTGTTCATCATTAGTTGATGCCAAAGACGTTTTGGTTAATCAAATGTATCTGAGGTGTCTTTTTAAGAAACTTCGGTAAAATAATAAAAAGTCAGATGTAGAGATTTCTCAGATACTTTTGATTAACCAAAACGCTATATATAATATTATGTTGCAGTAAAATTGCAATAAATAGGTAAAAGAAGAGGGATTCATTGAATGATGCCATAAAAATCTTTAATTAAAGATGAATCAACAAATAAATGAAAAATCAAAAAATTAACCAAGAATCTTACACATGTCATGCTTAAAAGAGATGAATTAGTGACATGGCACTCTCATATGTGAGAAAAACCTACTTTATATAATAAGATTCAAATCTTGTAAAATGGAATACGTGAACATTACTACATTAAAGAAAAGAACACTTTACAATCTGTAAGAATCATAAATTACTATTTTCTAATAGTCAAGTTAACACCATTCGAAAATTCTCTTGATCTATATTCATAATCATCCCAACTATATATGTCTTCTGTTATCAATAAATTTGAAATTTTATCAAATGTATTGTTTTATAGAAATCTCCATTATTGTTTATGGGTCCATTCAATTTACCTGGCCACAGCCACTTGATTCAACGGAGTGGTTCTTCATCCGTATATCACTATTATGACACGTCGGGAAAATTTTGAAATATTCATTGTGAAAAAATAAAATAAAACTGAGCGTCATACGCAACAAGTCATCAACCACGTGCCTTAGAGTGAGTTGCCATTGTTCAACTTCTACAAAACATTGATTTAGTCAAAACTTTACTACTAGCTATACTTGTTGTCTATTTATAACGCATCTTCCACAACTCATTGCTCTTCACTCCAAAACATAAAGAGAAACCTACAAACCAAAAAGAGAGAGCAAATCAAGAAATGTCCATCTTTCTCTATTTCATCTTACTTTTACCTCTCCTTTTAATCTTCTTGAAACACCTCTCACCTTCTAAACGGAAGCTACCTCCGGGACCTATAGGTCTTCCCCTTATCGGAAACTTGCACCAACTTGGAAAATCTCTTCATAGATCTTTCCATAAACTCTCTCAAGATTATGGACCCGTGATGTTTCTTCGATTCGGCGTGGTTCCCGTGGTTGTCTTTTCTACAAGAGAAGCAGCTGAAGAAGTTCTCAAGACTCATGACCTTGAGACTTGTACTCGACCAAAGCTAAGTGCAACCAAGTTGTTCTCTTACAACTACAAAGACATTGGTTTTGCTCAGTACGGTGATGATTGGAGAGAGATGAGGAAGCTTGCGATGCTAGAGCTCTTTAGCTCGAAGAAACTAAAAGCATTTAGGTATATTAGAGAAGAAGAGAGTGAAATGCTTGTCAAGAAACTCTCTAAATCTGCTGAGACGCAAACTTTGGTGGATTTGAGAAAAGCTCTTTTCTCTCTTACCGCGAGTATCATTTGTAGACTCGCTTTTGGACAGAACTTCCACGAGTGCGATTTTGTCGATATGGACAAAGTTGAAGAGCTTGTGCTCGAGTCTGAGACCAATCTTGGCTCATTCGCGTTCACTGACTTCTTCCCCGCGGGTCTTGGGTGGGTTATAGACCGGATCTCTGGCCAACACTCGGAGTTGCACAAAGCCTTTGCTAGACTTAGTAACTTCTTTCAACATGTGATCGATGATCATTTGAAGCCTGGACAGCCTGAAGATCATTCAGACATCATTAGTGTCATGTTGGATATGATCAATAAACAAAGCAAAGTCGGTTCGTTTAAAGTCACCTATGATCATCTGAAAGGAGTTATGTCGGTGAGTAAAAACAATTTTTCACTTTTCTATTTATTTATTTTAGATATCTTAAAACATTCTACGGATTCTCTCTCACCATGAATTTCTATGAAATTTACTAATAAAATAATAATTATTTTTGATGAGATAATGACGGTTAGAAACTCTTATCCAGATGTCCTAACCATTTGGTATGTGTATAATTTAAAATGATAATTAGCTAATATATGTTTGTAATGATCAGGATGTGTTTTTAGCGGGAGTGAACGCAGGAGCCATCACCATGATATGGGCCATGACAGAGCTAACCAGACATCCAAAGGTGATGAAGAAGCTCCAGCAAGAGATCCGAGCAACCCTTGGTGACAACAAAGAAAAAATCACTGAACAAGATCTAGAGAAAGTTCACTACTTGAAACTTGTGATCCAGGAAACATTTAGATTACACCCACCAGCTCCCCTCTTACTCCCAAGAGAGACCATGTCTGATATCAAGATACAAGGCTACAACATTCCCAAAAATACAATGATTGAGATCAACACTTACGCAATAGGGCGTGATCCCAACTGTTGGCAAAACCCCAATGATTTCATTCCCGAGAGGTTTATCGATAGTCCTGTGGAATATAAGGGTCAACATTACGAGTTGTTACCATTTGGTGCTGGTCGCAGGATTTGTCCAGGGATGGCCACGGGGATAACTATCGTGGAACTAGGTTTACTGAACGTTCTTTACTTCTTTGATTGGAGTTTGCCCGATGGAATGACAATTGAAGACATTGACATGGAAGAAGCTGGAGCTTTCGTCATTGCCAAGAAAGTTCCTCTTGAGCTAGTACCAACTCCACATAAATGGTGAAGTCGTGAAAAAAGTAAACGATACAACAATAGTAAATCATAGAGCTCTAAATCATAATATTAAGATTTGTGTGCATCGGTCTCTTGCAGTTGGTTCGATTTTTATTTTCTTTTCATGAGTAATTGGTAGAATTATGTTTCATATTTTCGTAAGTAAAGTAAATATAATAAAAAAGTTTAATTTAAAAACCTCTTTTACATCTTGGACACGCATAATCTCTTTAATCAGTTCAAAAATCTCTTTTACTAAATTGTCTATAGTCCTAAAATCTACCATGTCTATCAGTGACTCTTGATTAAAATTAAAACCTTATCCAATCTTTGAAGAAACTCAGTTTGTAGATTCTGAGCCACAAACATGCAGAAACACTACAATGCACCAAATTTAATAGGCGGGCCAGGGCCTCAACATAACTAGTTGACAGAAGATAGAGTAGTAATTAATAGAGATAATTACCTCAGACATCATATTTAGACTCCTAATTTGAGGTTTACACCTGATTTGACTCTTTCAGATTTGTTGACCAAATTGTATTTTGTTCTCTCTTTCTACTCATGTAGCTCTGTCATCCTAGTGATATTTGTAGCTTTAATCACTATTTATTATACAAATCTTTATTATTCTATATTCATTTCACTTTTAATTTTTAATTTTTGTTTTATATGTAGCTTTGGATCTTCTATTTTATCGGTTCTTATTTTTTCACTCATTCAAATATATATATTTATTTTCTATGTGATTTTAAAGAATAACTTTGATTTTTATATTTATTCGTTGTGATAAAAAAAATAAGAATTCTACATTATCTATTTCTTAACAACTAATATCTAACACTTCTGTTAACATTTATAATATTTCTTAGCAGTTAACAATTATGTTAACACATCGTTTACATGTATTTGTTAACAATTAACACTTTTGTTAAGATTTACAATATTTATTAACAGCTAACATTTCTGGTATATGTATTTGTTAACAGCTAACACATTTATTAACATCTACATTATTTATTACAGATAACACATTTGTTAACAATCAGTGATTTTAAAGATATTGCGGTGTTGATTTTATTAGTCTATGGTGTAATAAAGAAAATCAATACTTTGTTTCGTGTGTCAATTAGTTTTTAACAAATAAAATTATTTTGTTTCGTGTGTCAATTAGTTTTTAATGAATAAAAATTATTTGGATGAAAAAAATGTGGAAGAAAAAGAAAGTATAATAAGAAAATAATGAGAGAAATGGAAAGAGAATGTAAGAAAAGACTCAGAAGAAAGAGAGTGGACATTAATATCCAACCTAAATCTTAATTGTACAAACTTTTGTTTTGGGGTCAAATCATTGACATTTTTCTAATATGAAATTTAAATATGGATATTTTGCTGAATCTCTATAATTAATAATTGTGTTCATGAAAAAAACTCACGTGCCAGTTAGTGACTACGATTTCATTTTTTTTCTTTTGAAACTGAGTGACTACGATTTCATGTTACAACATATTATCAAAATTTTATGTTTTATCATTTTTAAAAGTGAGTTCACTTTATAAAACTAATATGTTGTAACATGAAATAATTAAATTAATATGTTAAATTAGTTTGTATTTTAATTATTTTTTAAAAATTTATCTTGTTCAATTCTTTTATGTATTACTTTTTATTTAATTATTAATATTATATACAGATATTATGTTGGGGGAATTGCCAAAACCAACCCAAATATTCATTTTAACCCTAAATGTGCACCCCTTATTCAATCAATTGCAAACCCAACCTAAAGGGGTGTTAAAACTACTATTTAACCCTTATGAACAAACAAAAAACGTGCAGTATATTTTACGATTCTGTCCTTCGTAGGTCTACACTTTAAGAAAGAAGTCTACAACTAGGTAGACTTACATTAACGTCTACTGTGTAAACTAATGTAGACTTATTATTT